CCCGCTGCGCCAGGCGCGCCATCCCCGGCCCGGCGTGCGTCCCCACGAGGAAAGTGACCCCGCCGCTCGGGGCCCCCCTCTGACCGGCGTCCGCGCCGTCGCCACCGCCGAGGGCCGCGCCTGCCCTCGTCCCCAGCCCTCCCTCCTCCCCGCCATGGACGCCCCAGGCCACGAGCCGGGGGGCAGCCCCCAGGACGAGTTCGACTTCTCCATCCTCTTCGACTATGACTATGTGAATCCTTTCGAAGGTCGGTGGGGGCTGCCCGCGCCTGGCCCCCGGGCCGGGGCGGGGGCGCGGGCCAGAGAGGGGGCGCAGGGCCCCTCCCCGCTCCGCAGCCTCCGTTCCCGGGGGCCTGGAGCAGGACGGGGTCCCCCTGCCCAGGCGAGAGGAGGGGAGGCGGTGGCAGGGGGCGGTAGGCCCCCTCTCGCGGCTTTGGGGCCAGTTTCCAGTTACCTGCGACTGCTAGAGAGGCAGGTCCCGGGCTCTGCTGGCCCGCGCCTGGGAGTGGGTTGGAGGCCGCGCAAGTGAGTTCTCGCCTGCGGAGGGAGCGGGTGAGGCCGCGAAGCACGGAGTTAGGGTGGATGCGCGGAGGGTGGCGGGTGAGCGCCCTGCCTCCAGCCCCTTAGAGACACAGCCGCCCCTACACCTCCCGTGCGGCGGGGACTGGGGACTTTCTGCTGAAACTAAGGAAGAGGCTGCGGGAGCCTCATGCTTGGGTGGTTTGGCTTTGGTGCGATGAGGCCAGCCCATTTCCTCTCTGGGTTCTGCTGCCGCCTTCACCAATCAGCCCCGAGGGGACTGGTCTCAGCTCTGCTGAGTGATCTGCACGCATCCCCAGGGATGGGGCGATTGCAGAGTCGGAGCGGGCCCTTGGGAAGGCACAGGCAGTTTCTGCCTAAACTCTGGCAGCCTGTGCCTTCCCCAGCCCCCAGTCCGTGGGGGCTGCGCCCCGTGCTCCTGCGTGGTTTCACGTGTTTTACAGGAGCATTGGTCAGAGGGAGGAAGGGAGGGCCTATGCCCAGCTTCTCTGTATTTTTCTGGTTAGCAGGTTGTCTTGGAAAAACAAAAACCCCAACCAGGCTTCCTGATTTTGACAGCCCAGCCCAGCAGATGCCTGGAGCAGGCTCAGGGCCGAGTCTGCTGTCACTTCCAGATGCCTCCAGGCTCGCCTGCATCTGCATGGGTTCAGGGGAGGAGCTTGTGCTCGCTGGCTGGTGCGGGAAGCCTGTCAGAGAGAGGAGGTGGCCTGGTGTTTCCCGGGAACGCTGTTAGGAAGCTGAGTGGGCGTTTTAACCTTCTTATCCTTGGTGTGCTCCCCGACCATCTTTGGTGAGGGGCCCGCTTTGACTATGAGCATCACCTTCGTTCGGATCCCTGGAGATGGCGATTAGTAATAATTTTGTGTTGTGGCTGGAGATGGGAATAATTACCCAGCAAAAGAGATCCCTGTTCTAGACTTGCAATCTGGAGAACATCCTTTGCTTTGAAAAGATACAATTAAGAATCTGCAAGTGATCCAGCCTCACCTCAGTGGTCGGTCTTCTGGTCATTAAGATTAAAATCAGATTTTGCAGGGTATTAATACCTGCACCCTGCCCAGGTTCATAGTCAGCTTTTCTTTTCTTTTCTTTCTTTTCTTTCTTTTGGAGGGGTGTGGGTGAGGGTGAGGATTTCCGGGGAAATAGTTTCCAAGCCAGATCTGGTGGGAGGTACTTTTTATAGTTTTTCTTGGCAAGCGATGCATGGTTGCTACCAGATGGGTATTTTAATGACCACAATGAAAGCTTAGGAATATTTTTTAAAATAATTTTATTTTTTAGGCTAGTTTCTGATTTATTTATCCTCTGTGAAGATAACACAGGAACTTCCCATATAGCCAGTACCTATTTTCCTCATATTATTAACATCTTATATTAGAGTGGTACTTTACATTTGTTTGTGAAACAAGATGACACATTATTATTAACTAAGGGTTATGCTTTCTCAGAATCAGAATGTTCTTCTTTTTTGTCCTTGACATTTCTGGAGGGTACCAGTTAGGTATATTGAGGGCTGTCCTTCATTTGGGATTTTCTGATGCTTTTCTCATGATGAGTATGAGTCTTTGGGAGGACGAGCACAGGGTAAAGTGCCCTTCTTGCCGCATCATATCAAGGGTACATACTGCCAACATGATTTATTACCGTGCATGTTGACGTGTTTGTTGGGTTTCTGGACTGTACTCCTTTCTGGTTACATTTTTTGGAAGGAAGTTACTCTGTGAAGCCTATATTTAAGAGTGGGGATTTTTTTTTTTTTTTGAGACAGGGTCTTTCAGTACAGTTCAGGCTGCCCCTAAACTAACTACATAGCCCGGGCTGGCTTTGAACTTGCAGCAGTCCTCCTGCCTCAGCCTCCTGAGTGCTGGGAAGAATGGGGAATTATGCCTCTGAATCTGGTAGTAAAACGATGACTCTTTGCCTTCCTTGGCTTTTGCCAAGATCACGCCCGAGTTAGGGCTAACAGCTCACAGGCGTCACCAGGATGGTGTCCCCTGGGGCCACACCCAAGATAAAGGCCAGCGTTGGCCCCTGGGGAGTTCCACCTGCAGAAGCACAAAGACGTGGCACAGAAGCCAGAACCAGACCCATCCCATTGCAGGGGCATCTCACATGATCTTCTCAAGGCCCCTCATGTTGCTTTTCTTCCCGGGAGCTGACTCTCGTATGCTGCTGTCAAAGGCAACTAAATCCGTTATTTTATTCTTCATAGACCTGTTTCTGTGTTGGATTGTATTAACAGGTTGCCTGAAATTGAAGTCTTCTCGGTATAAACCCCTCTTGGTCACTGTGTGTTACTTTCTTGTAGTAGTGGCACCTATTTCATCATGCAGTATTGGTGAGTCTTTGCTGCAATATTTGAGTGATGTTGGTCTGTAATGACCATTTTTGGTGGGCACTCAGCTTTAGGCTTCTTCTCTGTGCTTAGGAACAAGTTATGCATCTGTAGGACACTGGCTTGTACAGTGCTGACCAAACCCCCAGGGAATACATTGGGCTCTGATGCTTTCTTGTGGGGCTGCTTCTTGGTACCTTTCTCTGCTGGGCTTGTTACACTTTCTGTTTCTACTGGAGTCATATTGGGTAACCCGTATCTTTCTAAGAAATTGTGTATTTCATCTATCTTGGTTTTCAAATTGATTTGCCTAGAGATGCACAAAAAGTACACTTATTATTATTATTATTATTATTTTTTTTTGGTAGAAGGGACAGCAAGGTGCATAGTGACAGAGTAGGGACAGGGCTGTGGGGGTCCTGGCTGGCTGTTGGTCCCACCGTGGAAGGGAGAGGGGCTACTGTCCACAGAGAGCTCGCAGATTCTTTCCCCTGTGCATACTTGGCATTCACTGAATTCCCGATTCCTGCTTCTTCCAACCTCCAATACCTTGGAAGAGAAAGGTGCGCCTTGGGCATTCCCGGCCACCGGAGAAGCGCCATATCACCTAGGTCCTGTGTTGGAGATGTGTTGGGGTGTTCACTTTGGGTTTGCTACAGTTGGTCTGGTGCATCCCTTTTGGATTCCTGGTAAGCTAAAGCATATGGCACCAGCTCTGGCCTTTCCACACGGCAAACTCCTCCTGATCACTGATTGCTGTTCTGTAGTCTCTTCCTGTGATCCTTCGACTGCTGGGGTCTCGGCCCTTGGAGAGGTGATGAAAGCCATAGATGCTACACGTTCACACATGTACATATATGCACATACTCATAAGGGAGTGCACACGAACGCCCTGTGCATACACACCTCTCCCCTGGTGCACTGCCTCCCATTGCATTTTATGCCCTTTCCAGGGGAGTTGCAAACTCTTCTGAGGCCAGCTCCCTCATGCTGCCTGCAGGGCAGCTTAAGAACACCTGCTCTAACCCCTTGCTCACACACTGAATGCTGGTTTTGTGTCAGGCCCTGAGGGTGTGGAGATAAAAGAGATGTGGTCCCTGCCCTTGCCTGGCCTCCAGGCCAGTATGGGACAAAACCTGGTAAACAAATAGGGACAAATGAGGTGCTGTGATACAGTTACTATTTTTTTGTGTGTGCTTACTAAAAATAGGGCTCTACATTAAGCTGAACACATGTGACATTCAGAGACATTGCCGTCTGTGTTGAGTTAAGGACGGGCCTTAATGAGCCTGCTTTGGACAAATAACGTCTCCAGGTGCAGCTGGAGAGGTGAAATACGGGCTAGAATTGAGCGGGGCCTTGTCAGGGAGGCACAGGAAGTGAGGATAAAGTTGCCTCAATCATTGTTCACTGTTGAACCGCATCGCTCTAGCTGCCAAATTAAAGGCCCTCTGCCCTTTTGGTGGCCTTAGATTAGACGGAGAGTTGAGGCTCTTCCAGCCTTAAAGCAGTGTCATTCAGTTGGGTTCCCCAGGCTCTCTAGCTCTATAAAGCGGTGAATTAATACGTGGCAAAATGAAGTATGGGCTTAATCGTGCCTGTGTGTTAGAATCTGCGGGGCTGTGCCCTGGATCCTCAAAGTCAGGGTCTTGACTGAGAGCCTGTATCTGAGTAGCAGGGAAGGCCTGGAGCCTGGGCACGTGGGATCTTGAGTCCACGTCCCCAACACTAGAGCTCACAGCCAGAATGTGCCCGCCCTGAGGCAGGGGGATGCCAGCGGCGTCTGAGGTCCTCCATGTACAGTAGCATGTGTGCGTTCACCACTTACATATGATATGTATATAACTTTAACGGTGCATGTGCTACTCTCCTAATGAGAGCTACTCATAGAACTTCCAGCAAAAATAGAAATAAAAAAAAAAAGACACACATGGGAACTGTACTGTTTTTTTTGGAGGGGGGGTGTTATTGGAAACTGAACTCAGGACTTTGTGCTTGCCAGGCAGGCATTTGTACCACTGAGCTGTATCCTCGGCCGGCAAGTGTACTGTTTTTTCTTGCTTGCTCTACCCCAGATGGTTCTGGGCACTTTCTAGGGTGCCTGTATCCCTGTTCCCTCCCATCCTGGAGGTTGTTGACCCAGCAAGTCAGAGCATCGGGTGTAAAGTCGGGTCTCCTGGATTGATATTCTACTGTCGTTGTTTTCTACCTGGTGACCTGGGTTAGTAAGCAAAAGGACCTGACATACAACAAGCATGGGAAGAAAGGTTGCCGAATAAATGGACGGAAGTGGCATAATTCTTTATCAGTGGTGTACTGGAGGACACATGATTTTCGTGTTCTCATCCATGAAATGGGCTGGCAATGCCGGTG